CTGGTTCTATTCGTAGGAGCCAAGGGCAATATCCTGGATGCTATATAAAGCAACATATAAGAGTCCACGTTATTCGTGCCAACGACTACCAACGGCGGAGATTAGAAGAAATAACCGTCAATAAATTTTTGCAACGTTTATCCAAGAAAACTTTTATCCCTTGCGGGCAGTATTGTGCCCTTCTTGCGACAAAAAAACGCCACTGTGCTACCCGGAATGATTGATGCCATCAGCTTACGTGACTGTTGGTGCTGTCACGGGGGAAAAAAAGTGAAGTGAGAAAATGGGAGCTATCCAATATACACAGGGACCAACAACGAATAGATATTGACAGTGACTCGGTTGTATGCGGGAAGCTACATTGCCAGCTCATCCTTGTGGTTGGCTAATTAGGATTTCCATTCGTCTTCTCTCTGGCAACATCATATGCCGGAAAGAAGCAGTATTGAGTGGTGTGAACCGTTTGAAGCGACCATGAGAAAAAGTCCGGGGACACATCCGTAAACTCCTTCGTGCGACGGTGAGGAGAGGACGCTGACAGCGACCGATAAGGTCCGTCTAGGATTGCACAAACGTGTTTGTTCCACAGATATTCACGTCGCAGAAAAGAAAAGTCATCGCGCAATGACGAAGCGTCACGATCATGCAGGCTGCCGCCGCAGTAATGAAACCGCCAAAAGTTGTCGAGTTCCAGACTTCATGAGACGGCAAAGACAGGGCCTTTCAATTGACTCGAAGACTCGTGGCACTACCAAACACACCAATACCGGATAGTCACTCGTCTCTTAATCTTGACGAGGAAGTAATATAAATTGAACTGGTTCGCCCTACGATGTCAAAATTTGCTTCATGAATTGGACACATTCAATCGCTTTTCAGTCATCGACAAATACAAAGGGAGGGACCAAAAGCCAAAACATTACGCATTGCCAATCCTCTAAATAGCAGGATGTCTGCAAACAACAACAAGACGAACGGAGTGGTAAACAATGGTTAGATAGACCAACTGTCGCTGAAAAACTACGAGAGTCGAGATTATGGTTCTAACAGTGTACCAGGAGCCGGAGCCGCAAACAATTCAAAGATAGCATCGTCGTCTTCCGCAACAACGTCTTACGGCATGCAGAGTTTTCTCTCAGAGCCTGGTCCCTGGGTCCCCAAAGGGGCTATTCCACCGGGCAATGGCCCTACGTGGACAAGCCACAGTCAATCCCGTGGTGGAAACGCATCTGCCCATCAGGGTTCCCGACATCAATAGGGTATTTTGACGACGACCTGGTTTTCTCGGGGAGGGGGAGGGGGAGGGGGTGCGATGTCTGTTGCGTCTCGTCCAAGTTCAACTCAACAACTAGCTCAAATGCCAGACGTCACTCCTTCTCTCAAAAAGAAGGGAAAGAAGTATTTGGTGCATGACTGTGGTTGTAGCATCATGTCCTGCTGCTTGACTGGATTCATAGGTAACAAGAGCAACTAAACTATTCACTTTGTTAGCCGTTGGACATCCATCCTGATGTGATTTTTCGTGCTGAGTGTGAGGTCGATAAGGACTTCAGATTCGTGGTCCTGTAGACCCAAATGGTGCCAGTTTCCAACGTTCTGCAGGTGACGGCGGTGAAAGCAAAGGTTTCCAGGGATCATGGATTCATGGATTGATATGATATCACAGAGCCAGTCCGAGACAGTGCCTACTTTCGGTCCTAGCAACTGTTCGATCAAGTGAGCCTTGGTGCTGAGACTGAGACATGAGAAGAAAAACAACGAACGCATCGGGGCAAATCATGGAGTAGGTACTCTGTACTCTATATGATTGTCAGACCGCGGTAAGTGCTTTCGGACTGTGTACAGGGGGAGACTGGATTACCGATCAAACCATTTTTAAGATATCTTCTTTACGTTTGGTACTCCGTACTATAACTGATTCGAATTGATAAGCATGGGCGGGTGTGTTGGGCTGGGCAAATTCATCGCATTGATGAAGACCGGTAAAAACGAGCCGTCAGTATCGTGATGAGCTTCTTGGTTCCGGAGACGTCCTAAAGGAATGGATACTGGCATCAATCGCGGAGATCTCACTAGTATTGCTTCGCCCTCAATCCCGTGAGAAACCTGGCTCGCCCTGACAGTAGTGGAAGTGTCTCTGATAATTCTGGTTGTACCGCTTGTTGTTGCCAGTAAGCCACAACAAATCATGACCCACACGCACCCCGAATCTGATGTGGATACGGAGTACTCCGTACTCCGTATCGATTCTGTTCGGAGGTTTAACCGTCGAGGGCGACAATCGCTGTATGAAGGTCGAATTGGTGGACCAGGAACAGGCTCTGGGCAAGGCGGCTGGACGACGGGGAGACGCGGGCAAGGCACAGGGCGAAATAGCCATGATGGAAAGTTGTGCGCAATGGCTTGGGTTGACAACACGAGAAGAAAGCCAGACGTGGTTTAGAATCAACGGACCAGTATAATTTCTCAAGCGCCGCGTCTTGTTTTTAGTTGCATGATCTGACTGGGGTCGTTTGGCGACGCGGAATTGCATGGTGGATATTGGCGAAAACGCACACAGACTGGATTGGCCGAGATGCGTCTAGGCTCAATCGAGAATCTTGATTTCGGGGGATTCCGTAAGCTGGGGAAAGACTTCAATTACCTACCAGGTACTCCGTAGGTACCTACCTGGGTAGGTACAGGTAATATTCGTATCTTACTAATAATAGATACCTATAATATGGTATAATGTATAGTAAATTTATGTATCTTTTAAGTCAGCATTTTTTATTGGCTAAAGTAGAAACCTGGTCCGCTACAGCAATTGGACCTGCGCACATTCAAAGGGATGGGGCACCACCGCTACGGAGTATTCCGTACAAGCCAGCATTTCGGCGGAAAAGCGGCGCGTTACAAAGCGAATGCAAGGGCCAAGCCACCTAGTTCTCAAGAAAAGCAAAACCCGAGTTTTCAAGATGAAGCGTCTGGATGTGTGTTTAGCAAATCGCTGGGAATACATGAGAATTGAAGCCAGATGGAAGGTGTTTTTGCCTCTGCTGTCGCGACTCATGCTATTGTAGTACAGGGACTACCTACTAGGAACTAAGGCACCTAGTAGAAACATGTCAACGGTCAAGTACTTTTATATTTGGAGCCGCAAGGGACATCACGGCCTCTTGACTAACCTCAGCAATCTGAGCTCCCATTCCCGAATTCGCTCATGGGTCTGGTGCCTCTGGTGGTCCTCTCTTGTCGGCGCTTAGAGGCGAGGACGCAATGCCTGTTCTCGAGGTACGTTGGTTGGTCTTGGCGTCACAGCCGACGGCATGAGCGCTCGGGTGGTGCCCCTACCAAAAAAAAAAAAAAAAAAAAAAAAAAGGGTGGGCAAGTTGACACTGAGAAGACGGTGCTGGTAGGCTGTGGTGGCTACCTACCTAGGTACTTAAGTACTTAGGCGGCACACCTAGGTACTATATACGTAACCCGAGTGTTTTCATGATGGATGATTGACAAAGAGGAAAATATTTGTGCTTAATGCAGCTCAGGCAAATCCGTGATGGAAACGTGACAACGTGACAACGTGAGCGCGATCAATTGATGTGACTGCATGGTGGATGGCCAGAACGCAAAAAGGCGCAGACTGGAAGCCATGGTGCCAAGATGCCAGCTGCAAACGGCTTCATGTTTAGTTCCAAGCCGGCATTGCAGAGTATGTACTCCGTACTCCGTATGACTTGAAGTTTGGCTCCGAGCTACGGAACACAAGCTTGGGCTGAGAGCCTAGTTGTGAGAAGACACTCCATGGCTCGAGACGTGACGACGAAGTCTTGCAAGCTGTGTCGGGAGGATGAGGGCAATATAGAGGCAAGCTTTTTTATAATGTGTCTGGTTGGAAGTCATCAAGCCGCCTACTTAAGCTCTGAGCAGTGGTGTCAAGGCCCCCTCCCTTGGTTTCCTTGGCTGCTTCGGTCCATCCAAGTACCAGGCTACATCTTGTGCTCTCCTCTGCCCCCCAATTATTCCCCTTCAAGCCTGCCCTGGTCCACGGGCGGGCAAGTACTCAGGTACCTGAGACGTAGTCAAGCACCAACTTGGAAGGCAGTTGAGCTTGGCACCCACAACCATCGTGGACATTTCAGCCACTCAGATCTCAGAATAAGAAACTTCATTGGCCATTAGCGACTCACCTGGATCCACTCACAAGCAGTGGGTCCCTCGCATTGCAGCAAGAAGACCAGCCCAACAAGGTCTCATTCCCTAGCTTTGATTGTACAGTTCGGCCTGAGTGAGGTGGCACAGTACATGTACACCTACCAATTTTGAGGTACCACGGTTGACCTCTCCTTCCCATTTCATCCTGACACCAGTTGTCTCCTCTCGTCCCGCCTACCGTTATTCCAGGCTCGCTCACTCTGCTGTGGCTCTCCATTCCTTTCACCTCAACACAATCAAACAAGCGGCACATTCTACAAACTAATCCTCGCTGGCGCGTCGACTGCATCCCGTTATTGTTTTGCTCCCATTATCGCCAATTCATTCGCATTCACGAGTCTTATCGCTCTTTTCGCCCGTTCACATCTCCATTCGTTATATTGGCGGCTGGCACGGTTGCTGCGAGGAAGAAGGTGCTGCGCTTGGCAGTTTCACCACAGAGTAGGCGGCGTCTCGAAACAAAAATCTACACCTCCACGAGTCTGACCACCTGCCAAATATTTTTGTCTCATTGTGCGGCGCTGCCCATATACCGTGACGGACCGGTTCATCCCACCTTCTTCCACCAGAGAAAACTTGTCGCAGCGATACAAAATTCGACGAGCATCGAGACGACGGCATAGGCGACACAGGGGCAGCCTCCTGTATCGCACCTCTGCTTGGCACAACACTCTCTGGTTGAGCCTGCACGGCAGAATCAATCGCTTCTCAGAGATTGTGCTCCGGGAGACTAGGGCTCCTATCCAGTACCACTACACGATTATCACACAAAGAACACGCTCACGACATCCATCATTACCAATAAAATGGGTACGATTTCTCTTCGGATATCTTCCTAGCGTTATGGAGGCCCTATTCACTAATCAAATCTTACCGTAGCGCAACAACCTGCCGGCAATGGCCTGTCGTATACTATCGTCCCATTCAACGATATCAACAAGCTCCCGGCTTGTGCCAATGCTTGTGGCCCTCTCTGGGATGCCAACGGCGCTTGTGTGCCTCCAGCCATACCTGCTGCTGATGCAGGTACATATGAATCATGCTTTTGTGCCGACTCAAGAGTTGCACCATTTTCCACAGGCGGCGGCGCCAATGTCTGCCCGAATGCTTGCCCAGGTAACCCCCAGGGCATCAGTTCCATTGGCAACTGGTTCACCAGCTTCTGTAATGGAAAGGCCCCTAAAAATACCCCCAAGACAACAGGAACGAGTACAGCTACGGAAACGAATACCGCAGGCTCCTCAGGTAGCAACATTGGTGGCAGCAACAGTGGAAACGGCGGAGACTGGTAAGTCTGAAGATACGACAGTCCTTGACGACGCGGGAACTAATATGCCTCGACGAAAACCAGGCTGTCCAACCACTGGCAATGGGTGATAATGCTTGTCATTCTCGTCGTTGGCATTGCCGGTATTTGGATTGGCGCATGCATCTGGCGCCGTCGATATTTGCGAAAGAAGGACCGGCAAACTTCACTCGGCCAGAAGCACTCAGGGTCTGCTTCTCGTCCGTCATGGGGACCTGCCGTTACTGGTACTGAGACTGCGACCCCTATGGCACACAATGCTGGAGGTGACCCTGAGCGAGTGGTTGCCACTGAAAAGGCAGGAAAAACTAAATCTAAGAAGAAGTGGACTGTTACTCAGCGCACTTAGACGAAATTCCTCACTTGTTGCCGTTATCAACGCCAAGCCTGCGATATACTCTCTACGACGACCTGATTTCTCATGTTTACTGCATAGTTGAATTCATTTTTTGCTGCATATTGCTTTGCATCTGTATTCTCGAATCGGCAGAATATGAATACATAGCTGGCTTTTTGACACTCATCGATATCGACCCATTGGATATACAGTACACTTACTGGCTTGCACGCATGTGCCCCCTTCCTTTTACAGGACTGTCGATACGGCCGTATCTTTTCGTCATTTTTGTCGTAATGTCATCCACCGAAAGGATCTTTACTTTCCCAGAGCCATAAAATGGTGCGTGTTTCGATTCAAACTTGGGGGCAAAGGCACAGGCAACAAAGAGGACAACGCTTGCGCTTTGACCCCTTGTTCTTTGTCTTCCTAGTCTGTATCTGGGCATTTGCTAGTCTACATCTTTTAATATGTTTAGTGGGGATTTGAGCTTTCTTGGTCTATTTTGGGCGATTGCAGGCGTTTTTGAAGGGATCATGTGGACACCATGACACTGCATTTTAGAGGTGCCGACGGGCTTAGCCTTGCTTTGTGTCGTGAGGATTAAGAATCGGGTTACCCAACGGTTGGGAGGACAAGGCCATGTAAATCGGCTAGCTATATGTTTAATCTCTTACGCCACAATGCGTCCTACGTGTAAGACATTGTTGGGAGACTTTGTCAAAAAGACCAAATTGTATTCGTATGCTCATGGCGGTTCTATAAACAAGTATAAAAAGAAAACATTTCCGGGGACAATATCCCAGGTTCCTAGCTACAGCTGCTTCTGCTGTTCTTCCCTACCGTCCATGTACAGATCAATCAAACAGCCTGCTGACCATGCCTGCGTGGGACTCTGCATTCGTTAGCAACTTCTGCAATTCTGTAGAAGAGTAGACGTAAGCTTACCGAATCAGGGCAATATTCTCCATTCTTCTGCGTCAACTCTGTCAAGCCAGCCCACGGGCTCTCCTCAATCATCTTTTTGCAGCCCGCCAAACGTCTCGTGACCTGCTGGAAGGCCTCTGTCCTGCCCTCGGGCGTCGTGCGTCTCATCAGGTCAAATTTTAGCAACGCACGGAGAAAGAAGCCCGTCGGCCAGAGCCACTCCGGGCCTTGGTGGTAGTTCCTCCCCTTGCTTGTGGCGAAATCCTCGCTGTCTTCGCTGTTGCGGTAGTATGGGCGGTAGTTGAGATCTGCGGGATCAAGTGTGGCCATGCCTGTCGGGCCGCGGAGGACCGAGTCGGCTAGACACAAGGCATGCATTGCGTGGCTTGGGTCGAATAGAGATGGGGCGACGGCCATGGCGATGGGGAAGTTGGCGCGGAATTGATAGTCTTCGTACTCCTTGCCGGATTTGTAGAGGTCCTTGTAGATCCCACGACGGTTGATGATGGCAGGGTTGACGTCGTACTTGTAGTCGTCCTTTGATGAGAGAGGGACAAAGTAACATCTCTCGAAATTGGCCTTGATCCGTCCTGCCCAGTCTTTGAAAGAGACACTCCTTCCGTCTGCAGCTTTTACTGACGAGTAGGCATATTTTCCTTGTTCATTCAGTTCGGACAGCCATGTCAAGGTGCTGTACAGCAGACCGGTGATCTCAATGGCGGCACCATCTCGTGGAGTTCCGGGCACTCCCTTGGAGCCGGCTCGTTCGCTTTCTCCCATTTTGTCCATCCAGGTGCCACAATTGAACTGATTGCCACCAAAGATAATGCCCGTCTCCCAGTCGACATGAATGTCCTGGTTGAAACCTTCATCCTTCATTTGAGAATCAATCTGTGGTCCAGCGTTTGCCTCTCGGTATTTCATCCCGGTGGCGTGTCTTTGCAGTGCCTCCTGGATGATCTCCTCTATGGTGCTTTCTTTCGAGTATGACCTAGGGTCTTGTGTTGGAAACCATGTATCGTCATAAGGCAAGAAACGTCTCTTGACAGTTGACCTTAGCAAGCCCACCCCTTCAGGAGCGTATCGGATAAAGTCCTGGATGGTCTGCAGGAAGAACCAGATTGAATCTCTAGAATTGTAGCGAGGCGCATCACCACTGCTGAGCAGGTTGGGGATCATTCCGTGCTTCAAAACGCTTGCAAAGGCCATGATATGCTCCTTGGCCTCATCGAAGCGGCCAGTCCCCAGATACAAGCCACGGATGGAAATGAAAACATCGCGCCCCCAACATCTTGCCCATCCAACTGCAAAATGAGGCAATCCCGCAGCAATGGAAGGGACTGCTTTGTTAGGCCATAGTGATGCGGACTTGACATATCCCGTCTGCTGCACGCTAACCAGCGCCAGGTTTTGGATGAACCATTGTGCCTTCTCGATGTTCTCGCCCATTAGCTCCAATGCTCTGTCACGGCTAGCCTTGTAAGCTGTTCGAAGAACTAAACCAAAATATCGGGGGAGAAGGAAGCTAGGAATTGTTCGGATTGCATCAAAACGTTCACTGAGCCACGTGGCTGGCCTGGCAAGCTGCTCATTGCCCTCCATTTCACTCAATTTCTGAACGCGGCCAAGGATGTAGTCGAGAGACCAAGTGCCCTGCCGCAGATTTTGGCACAGAGGATGGGCGAGGTTGTTCTCCCGAATGATGCCCTTCATGAGACTCCACCATCCTTGCAGTCCGGCGTAAACTAGCTTTCCATGTCCTGGGACATTGTACGTACCGTCACGTCCACCATTAGAGTCGAGCTCTTCAGCCTCACACCTGTACATTAAGAAATTCAAGTCAATGAGGTTCAACTGGCTCCAAGCTGCTTTTGCACCTGATGTGACATATGTGTCGAGACTAGTAGAATGCTCCGCGGCAGGAATCCACGTCTCGAAAAGTGCAATGCTCCCAGGAGGGAAGTTGTCCCGCACAGTAAGAACGGTGTCCTCACCCTGCGCGTCCATATCGACGCCAGCGATTTCTATGACACGACTTGGAAGACCAACTAGAAAATGGCTGTCATTGACTGCTTTTGCTGTTGCTTCTGCGCTGGCATCCACCTCTAGAGTCCAACTTCCTAGATGCTGGGCTCGGGTTCCGGCCAAACGGACTGGGGTCAAAGCACCATTGCCATTGCCGTAGCCAGGAAATGCGGTGTGAGCAATTAAAAAGTACCCTTTTCGTGATTCAGGATGAACTCGGTGCACAGTAATGTATTCCTCCTCGTGGTGGATGTGCGTCTCGTCGTAGCCATCTTTGCCCATTAGTATATGAATCTGGTTTAGTAACTTCTTTACTCCGGCAATTCCGTTCTTTCCACGACCAACTTTGATGGGGGCGGACCTAGATGATTCTGACGTATACAAGCGAGCTTCGTTGACGAGGTCTATGAGCCTAGGATACACTTCATCGTATCCCATGACGGAGCCTGTGGCACTGGAACACATGCTGACAAGTGCCGCATTAGGAAGGGTGTCTCGAGCATCTCGTTTCTGAGCTGGCGTTTCATTATCATGAGTACAATCCATGAAGAGGGCGTGCACTGGCGTAGGTTTGATTCGCCGGATAACTTCTCTTGTGAGGTCTCGCCCGCTTTCAGAGCCGGGTGACGGCGTTGGGTCACCATGGGCGATTTCGTCAACCTCAAAACTGCCAATTGGGCGACCACCGTGGCGATGAACCAGTCGACTGAGCTCAGCGGTGCTCCATGCTTGCATAGCCTCTCGGATGAGCGAGCTGAGTCCGAGTCGCTTCACGAACACGTAGTCGGTGTCTTCGGAACCGCTAAATAGTTCAGCCACGACATATAGGTCTGGCCGCACGCGGCGTGCTTCGTCAAGAATGTGCTCAGCAACATGAATGGGCGTTGAATGACAATTGTCTATGCGCAGACCAGCAAAATACGTTGCTAATTTACGTGCATACTCTGTCATGTGCTTCCAAAGCCAAGGGCTATCGTCCGGCTTCGAACCATACCGTAGCTTGACACAGTCACCCCAGACGATAACTTCGCGTCGTAAGTATACCCGTGAGTCAGGGCCGGCATTGTCTATCAGTGCATTGCCGCCCCATACCCAGCCATTGTTCACTACCATCAATTCTCGCGGGTCATGCTTTGACGTCGTATCGTTCTTGGGCAGACGTGTGAAGTATGTTTCGATCAGAGGGTTCTCATCATTTATGGGACCGAGTTTAGGACCGTGTTCGTCCAGACGAACATATTTTATACGGTTGTATAGTTGTTCGAGAATTTCCTTTATGTCGCCGTCATACTCTTCGTACAATGGTACATTCAATGCATGTAGGATCTCTACCATTTTTGAGCGGGCCGCCGCCTTGTCTGCAGAGTTCGACGACTCGCCTTCGTATCGGCCCAGGGAGAATGCGAGCAAAGTCGCCGCTACATTAGGATCGACCCTTCTTCTGAATCGTTCACCTAGGCGATCCTTGCCCAAAAGCCCAAACTTTTGGAGGAAATCGGCCTGTTGAGTGACGCTAGAATCTCTAAGCTGTTCGACCGCTTCTTGAATGATCTCTGTATCTTGGGGTGTATACGTCTCTGTCCCAGCCCATGTGTCCACAGCAGCGTCAGCATCTCGCTCCACGTTAAGCGCGTAATATTCCCAAAGACGAATTTTCGCAACGACCTCTTTTTTGATAGCTTCCATGATCAAAAGTAGATCTTGGGGTGACTTTGGATCAGCTGGCAGGCCAAGGGATTGCAACTTTGAGCTCAGCTCTAGCAATTTGGAATCAAGTTCGTATGCAGACTCTAGCCATGGCGCAGTTGAAAGGTTATAGCCAGCTTCCGGGTGCTCTTGAAGCCATTTTGTATTGTGCGCTGTATGATTGAGTACGATGTCCGTCAGGCTCAGCAAGGAATTGTCCTTCTCCAAGCTTCGGATCAGGTCTTCAATGTCGCTCTCGCCATTGGGAAAGCAATCAGAGTCCCAGCCGAGTTGATCGTACAAGCTGTATGGTGAGTTGGACGATCCTCGGACTTGTAGGGGCGTGAAATGAATCATATTATAACCTCGATCGCTTATGCCTCGCAAATGACTATCCCAATCGGTAGGGTACTTGCCCATGAATTTACTGATGACAGAGAACACCGACAGCGCGGGCAGCGGGAGTGGGCGTCCATCTAAACGCAGCCGTGGCGCAACATCTATGTAGTAAGTCGGTGTTCTTTTCAACTGTTGAGAGGCTTGTGAGGGCGCCTTGGAAATGCGAGGTTCGAGGCTCGGCAGCTCGGCGTAGGTGGTATAGAAGGCATAGGCTCCTGGTTGGTGGATCTGGATAGATATCTCAATTGTGCGATTGAAGTCGGGTGTTAGCCTAATAGCCATTAATATACAGATCAATTGAGTCAGTGGACCATGGGGGAGCTCAGTAAATCACAGACTTGAATTCTCTGAAGCTATCGCGACGAAACTCCTTGCCCTTCTCGGGGATATTGACCCAGAGGCTGCCGTGGCAACATATTGACGAAGTGCCTTCAATGGCAAACCTGATGACCACAGGATCATTGGATGATGGAGCAATGTAGATGTACTGCCTCTCGACATCGGGAGAACCGTCATCGTTGAGCGGCAGCAGATATACCTGGGTGGTTGTCATGGTGCCTGGGCTCATGGTCTGGTGCAAAAGGAAGGTTGAGGGGAGCGACGCTCGCTGCCCCGCGCTAGAAGGGACTCGGGCGGGAATAGTAATCGACGTCAGAGCGCTGTTGTCGACATGTGGTTCGGTATCCACCAGAGCTCCGTGATGTTTTCTGCCGCTGTGGACGGCGGGACAGGTCTGCGGGACGTCAAAGTTCGGCGATGACAAGTGACGACGGGAAGCAACCGCGTAGCAGCGCGCCTAGCGAGGTGGTTACCAGCCCCGGAGATGGGAGGAGCTATTTTCTTGATGGCGGCATCCAAGCGTGCGAGATATCGAGGAAGTGGTGTGTGGCTGTTTAATCATGACGACGCCAGGAGGAGCCCTTGCTCCGCCGCTGTGCATTTATGGGCATGTTTGAACGTGAGGCAACGACGAAATCAAAGCGGTGACTCGCGACCAGTCTGCTGACGGGCGACTCGGGATCCAGGTCTCAACATGTGCAACAAGCCAGACGTAATGAACTAATCCCCGATTGTGCCTCAGCTTTTCCGATCGTGATGGAATCGGTAATGAGGTGACCCGTGTATTCGGTTCCTCAGTGGCCAGGATGCTGCGGACCGGGTACTTCGTACGGAGTACCATCCCCACAATACAAGTAAGCAGAACCCCAGTGCCAGCTTCGCCGACAACTCTGGTGTGTAAGCATGACACGTGGGCCGTGGCACCTACCATCTTGTGCCTTCGACTCAATTGGAGACATTTCCCAATTTCGACTCGAGTTTTATATTGAACGTATCATGAAACACACAGTCTTGACCCATTCTTGTACAAACCACCGCCTCCTTTTGACGGGGTTTACTCCCTATATCGGTTGCAATTCGCAATCGCCCGCCTGGTAGCCCCGTCAATATCTTCCTTTGGCAGGCCTAACACACCATTTGCCAAGCCCCGAGTCTCCTCAAAGTTGCTGCCACTGTTAGCACAAAATGTACGAGTATTGCCGACTTGGCCAGTGACCTAGCTTGCCATGTCAGCTTGAGTAGAGACGTGAAGCCTAATGGTTCGACAGCACTCACGTCCAAAACAGCTACTCTCTCAATACCAATGGCAAATTCTACCGGCTGATCCTTGGTATCTTCTTGGGCGATTTTGTTGTTTAATTTCCTTTGTCGTGTGGCTCTGACTGTTGCGAGCCTGAATTGAAGTTCTCTTTCAGGAATCCGGGACGACTTTTTCCTTTTTCACCGCAAGAACGAAGGCTTATATATCGGACTCAGAGTTGTCATCTCCTACGACCTTTGTCCTTCGGACTGGACTTAAGTTGCACCGGGCATTAATGGGCTCTGATACTCTATCCCGATCGTCTGACTCCAAATTTGGCAATTAGATTCCCGATCTTCTCCGCCAGACGGGAGTGGGTCGAACCGAACCAACGATCCCAGTTGGGATACGAATCTACGAATATGGCTTAGCGGCATCTTTAATTCCGACTACCAAACGGTCGACAAGGTTGAACTGCTGTTCGCTCTTGTTGTTCGGCTGCGCCAATGATACCTGTGAGTGGCGACTATTTTTTTCCCGCTTTTGTTTCCGTCGTTATTTCAGGGCCGCTGCTAGTCGACACACGCCATCCGAGTCACATACAATATGCGAGTCTTAATGTGAGAAGTGAAGGGTAGAGTAAAAAACGATATTCACATCGCTCCCTTGTTAGATGACAATTATATTGAGCGTCCGTATCCACATGATTGTACCTATGCAGTGCCCTTCCAGTGTCCCAATAAAGTAGAACAGGTCGATTTATCCAATCAATATGTGCATGTTGCAGAGTTCTTAGAGAGAGTAGCACTTGGAGTCGAGGTCCCGGAAAGATGGCGTCATCTGAGACATGCAGCGTCATCTCCTGTCTGTACTGATTTTACACAGCCGAAAATGAAGCTTTTGATGATGATGAAGGTGGCTCTGAAGGCTCTGCTGCAAATTTGACCCCTTTGATACCTAGTCAGAGCCCCTGAAAACCCCTGCTAGGGCTCCCTTCAACCCGAGCCCTAGAAAAAGCAACCATCATGACCGACAGGGTTCAAAAATGCCCCAGCCTGTTTATTCCAACGGCGGGCCCCCGGATCGACGATTTGCCTTGCATAACCAGCACGCCACGTGACGATGATTTTGCAAAATCGCCAAACAGACCTGAGCGGATTGAATAATGAATGCATTCTTACTTTTAAGAAAGCATGTCTACATTGTCGCCGTAGCTTTTAATCCATGTATTTCTGGCGTGGCATAATCCAGTGATGGAAAATGCGTTTCTTTACCCAAGAAGTGGCGCACAATCTGGCGTCCACGTCGAGAGAAAACATGATAAATATGAGGAACTATCCAGACTCCTTCCGAGGCATGGCTAGCGAACCAAGCAAGGTGGAAAGTTCTGGATGGACCATCAGATTTTATGTGACGTCCCACCGTCCAGTAATTCTTGGTCGCCAGTCGGCGTATTCAAACATTCGCGGGGACTTGATGACTGATATGTCGTACTACCAAAATTGGAAAGATCTCTCTCTATTCTGAACTTGATTGATCATGAGTTTAAAACCCGGTATTACGAGATGTGTACAGCATCGTGTCTCAGTTCAATGTCGTGCTCGACTCCATTGGGTGTGTTAAGGCGCAGCTTTTCTATCTACTGCAGAGTACCCTTGTCAAGTATTTCTGCCCGTGTCTTGGCCTAGAACATTGCTAACGTATATGCTTGGGACTGTTAGCGTCGATGAATGGATGAGTATGTATGTACCTACTAAACTTCTGTTCTCATTGGACATTGTCCTGTAAGAGACTTCGCTTACAACTTGACACACTTAAGAGGACAGGTCAACACCTGTCGCGGGTAAAGTGTCTTAATAAAATGCCACCTCTTCGCGCCTTGTTCCGTGGCCCAATGCCCGTCATGTGTAACGTACGTAAATTAGAAAGGACTGTGTTTTCCTTGTAGGCACCGAAAACCTTCAACTTCAACTTCTTGCAACCTTCCTTTCAACAATCCGGCTCACGCACTTATGAAGTATACAATTATATTTGCCGTACTTGGGTGAGGGAAAGAAGTCCGAGTCCTTTTACAACTAAAGAGTAATATTCGGTTAAGCATTTGCGTCTACGCGCAGGGTTCATGTCCAACAGTCCTCCACTCAAATACGCTTGTTCACATTAACAAATAGACCGTATCTTCCGAGGTCATGGAAAAGACGGGGTATGCATTTTTTGGGCCGACCATTTCCCTTCAGGCTGTCGTGAAGCGAAACACAAAGAGAAAGCCTGCAAAATCCAGGTCATTTGACAAGTGCTGCGTTGCGTTCTTCTATGAATGAGCAATACTATTTGCACACCAGACGTGTTTTTTCTTTCTTGCCCTCATTGACTTTCGTGTGGTTTGTTTCCTTGGCACTTGTGCACAACCATCGTGTACGCTCAAGCCTCCTGTCAGGGACTGCGCAAGCAACCTGCCTTTCCATACCATGCAACTGCTATAGCTTATTTTTTTGCTCTCTGTCCCGCTACCGCAGACGCATGGTTGAAAGTCAACTCTGCCACAAGTGGACTATTTGATAAGAGGACGTCGAAACTTTAGTCATGGAATTCGCCTTTTCATGTAAATGAATGACTTGCTATATATGCTTTTAAGTGTACTGCTGCCTATGGTATCTTGTCCATCGTATCCTTGCTTGATACGGTTACTTTCAAACCTGGCTCACTGGGCTTCGCCGTGTTTCTTTTAGCGCTGGCATCGGTACTGGTTCCCTTCTCCATTACACTGGATCCTGATGATGCCGGTCCGGATTCAAGATCAGTTTCACTCTCGCCCTTATCGTCTTGTACTTTAGGCTCGTCAGCAAAAGACAAGCCCTTGTCCTTGATCAGAAATGTTCCCAAGAAGCATATCCCCACAAGTGGAACTTGTAGGACAAAAACGGCGTAGCTTGCGGACATGTAGGCATCAAGGACACTAGATGGAATACCACCAGGTTCATCAGGCAAGTCAAAGGTTGAGCGGCTTAGGGATGAGTATTCTGGAGGCAAGGAACTTCGGAGAACCACCTGCATAACGGCAGCTGATATAGCCAACCCAGCCGCGCCACCTGAACAGCGGTTAAAGTTTCTGTTGGATATGATAACAGCCCGTCGCGATTTTGGGGAGTGGGCTTGGAGGGCAACCAAGGTTGGCTGTAACACTAAGCCGACGCCAATACCAAGGATGATTAGAGGTGCGACGATTGCACCCGGGTTGGTTTGTCGGTTGTATACGAGAGTGAGTCCGGCGCCGCTGTAATATGTTAGCAAAACGTCCCCAGCTGATCCGGAAAGGGAGAACAGACAGCAACCACAGCCCAAAGCCACACTTGATGACGATTCCGTATCTCTTGTACCGTGCGATCCAGTAGCCAGCTAGGATGCCGGACACGCTTTGAATTCCGACCGTGGGACAGAAGATGAGGGCCGATGTAATGATGGAGAACTGGCGCGCGTTCTGCAGATACAACGGGACGTAATAAACGTACGACTGATACACAAGTCCGAGGAGGAAGGTTTGAATGAGAATCACAACGATGACGGGGTTTTTAAACATGGAGACTGTGATGACGATAGATCAGTGACTGCTTGAAAATGGGTTGAGAGATGTGCACGCAGCCACTCACCCGGCATCATTGGCAAAGCGGCCACTTTCCATTCAATAACGACAAAAGCGATTAAAGACAGCGTGCCAATAGCTAGCATACTGATAACCATGGGTGAGTCCCATGGAAAGTACGCTCCTCCTATGCCATTAATCAGCGACGGGGACAATGGACGATGACATGGCATTAGAGACATACCGCCAGAGATGGGAATCAACAAGAAGATGACGGCGACAGAAGAAGCAAATAGCCCCAGCCAGTCAACTTTCTTGACACTCTCTGCGAAACCAGCAGTAGGAGGCTTGGACGGCAGAAAGATGACTGCAACGAGACAGCTCAGCGCACCCAGAGGAGCCAGCAGAT